TCCTCCTAAACTATGGCTCATAAAGCGCTGCTTCCCAAGGAAGCGGGCCAAGCCTTGAACTTCTTGTATTGTGCAAGCTGATCATTGGCCTGCGCAGGGGGAAGGGGGAGCCGTGTGCATATATGCACCATGTAATATAGGAGCCTAAAGAAATACCAATATCATGATTCCATGTTCCTGTAGTACACGTACAGTACTGCCTGTACACATATCCGCTTTTAGAGTTACATGTCTCGCTCAGTACCGTATACAGAGAAGCAAGCACTCTTGCATGTGTCCAGAACATCTCCTGATTGTGCACCGAACGACACTATTGTAAAGCACTGCAGTAGAACAGAAGCGCCGAGATGTAGTTTGCTTTTCAACCCATGGTCGAATACGCAAAGTAGAAATCTGCAAAATCCTGCGGGGAAGGACTTACAGCCTTTTCCAAACCGGGGTCATGTCGCACTGGTAAACTGTAAGTCGCGAACCCTGCCTTCTCTGAATCACCCGTCTGCTGGTAGAGCATTGCGCGTGCTGCATCACTGAAACCAAGCCTGCTGGTGGGACTGAAAAATGTGGATTTTCAGTATCAAATTTTGGATTTGGGGTTCTCGATAGCAAGCACGAATGCTGGAATTTAGGATTTCGGGTTGAGGTGTAGCAAATGTAGGCCATGGACGTCATGCAAGAAGGAGCTACACACTCCTATGCATTTGCGCATATGTATACAAGGAATTGGGAGTTCAGCAATGACTTCAAGATTCTGGATCCCTCGCATTATCCTTACTACTTATGCTCAAAATTTTCAATTTGGGGGGTGCTTTAGGGCATCCTCCCCAAATACCAAGATGTCTAGAGCCACTCTTCGGTCTTGACGCTGGAGCGATAGGCAGGGGGTGCTGATTAGGGTTTAGGGTTTAGAGTTTGAGGATTCAGGGTTCAGGGGATAGGGGTGTTGAACATGTTGCCCTCCCACCCAAGCAACCGCGGAGCAGTGCTGACCTGTGCAAGGACAAGATTCACATGAGCTATAGTCTAAACTCATCAAAGGGTGTTATTTAGGGGGTTATATAGGGATGATTAAGGGGGATGCCAGGAATTTAGACATGCAAAAGCCACGCGCCTGTCGGAGACGAAGAGGGTAAACAGAATGTACGCTTCCTGGGCAAAAGAAATGCGACGCCACAGGCAGCAACAACAACAACAACATCCCGAATTCTAACCCTAAATCCCCCACATCCTAATTTTCAACCGTAATTCAAGCCCCAAATCCTGACCCTGAGTCCCATAAATCCCTTCATCTTACAAACGCTTTGGCAGCTTTAGCCCAGACGGAAGTCTTGCTTGTTGAGCACGCCGTCACCATCCCGGTCATGTCGGTGGAAGGCTTCCACGATGAGTGGGAAGAGCTTGCCTTACCAAACCCTAAACCCTGCACCCTAAACAGGGTTTAGGGTTTAGGGGTGTAGGGTCTAGCGTTTAGGCTTTCCATTATCCCTATATAACCCCTATGTATCCCATATAACCCCTGGCAGTTTCCATTTTCTTTTCCATTATGACTAGCAGTGAGAACAGCAGGAACAGCAACAGCAATCGCAACAACAACGGCAACAGCAGCAACAACAATCACCACTACCTCTAGTTGTGGTTGTCATGCTTGTTGTAGCTGCAGCTGTTGTAGCTGTAGTTGTATTGCACTTGTGCCAAGAGCAGAAGCAGTGGTGGTACACTAGTGGTGGTGGTGCTGATGATGAATAATGTGATAGCTTAGGAGGACCCCCCACCCTGTAATAGTGGTAAAATAGGAATATAAGAGGACCCTAATATAATCCCTATTATCCATAATAGTCACTATTACAGTCTGGGGGGTCCACCTAACCTCTAAACCCTGATCCCTAAACCCTAAACCCTAAATAGTAGTTTCCATTTTCTTTTCCATTATCCCTATATCCTCCTGAGTGATAGCCAAGGTGCCATTCAGTTCCCTCATGGCTGCTTTCTTGTTGGCCAGGCGTGTCTCGCAGTGAGCCTTGATGAGGGTGAAATACCTCACGGCCAAAAAAAAAAGGTCGCACCGCAGGAAATAATATTTGGGGTTATAGTGGGATAATGGAAAAGATAATGGAAACTACTACGTAGGGTGTGGGGATTAGGGTTTAGGGGCTTAAGGGGTTAGCTAAAAGCACTTTTTCGTTGAGGGTTTAGGATGTGGACACTGGAAGTGCATAGCAAGCAGAGGCATTCAAAGACTGCAGCTTTACTGCTTTACTGCGCTATGGTGGGCTCTAGACTCATCTCTAGTAATGTTATACTACACTGCACCGTGCACGTACAACCGTACAATACTACAATATGTCTTTTACTAAACCATACTCTGGCCTTTCCTGGCAATTTCGCAACTTAGACTACAAAAAAGTCCGTCCGAGACACTGCTGCAAAAAGACACCAGCAGTTCCGTCATCGATCACCGCTTGCGTGACGGCGCTCGGGCGGGCTGCACGCATGCCTGCATGGAACTCAGGGTAGGGATGCTATGAAGCACGAGCGTGCTCTCTAACAGCAACCATGACAGAGTATGTAGTTAGGCTGCAGCGAAAACAGTGTCATCTGCAATAATTAGCGAAAGTAGTGAAATAGAAGCCAAAGCCTTGTTGAAGTGCAGAATGCAATCTACAAAGGACATTGCTTAAAAGGCATTGATCCAGGGGCGCAAGTGATCAGTTTGGGGTTTTGGGCTATGCTGATCTACAGTTATACTCATGCCTTAAGTATATAGGGGTTATATAAGGGATAATGGAAAAGAATATGGGAACTACTATATAGTATGTTGGGGTTGTATAGGGGATAATGGAAAAGACAATGGAAATTACTATATAGTAGTTCCCATATTCTTTTCCATTATCCCTTATACCTCTTGTTCAGACATCCAGGCCTATACCATTCACCGCCGTAGCTCCTGCAAGGCGATCGGCCATAAAAAAAAAGCAGCGTTTGGAAGGATGCAAATGCAACATGGGAGTTTCCCAGATTTAGGGGTCCCTTTTTGGGGATCCCTATACTAAGGACTAGACCATACTATATTAGAGTCTTTATTGGGGTCCCCGTATTTAGGGAAAATACCACATTCTGCAACTAAACGCGGAAATCCTAAGAAACGCGAAAATGCTAAAACCTTACCTGAACCTATATCCCAAGCCATGCCTGACTCTATGGAGCCCTTTTTTATAGCTGTGCCCTGAGCTTTCATAGTGCACGACCCTATCATCATTGGTTCCGCAGGGCGTGGGGAAGCCCTTTGCTCCAGAACCCTGTAGCCCCCAAACACTAAACTCTAATTATCTGGAAAGCCCGTGGCACATGGGGGTCTCCCAGTTAAAGGTATCTTTTTTACAGTATTAAGGGGCTCTATTTTGGGGCCGCCCTATGTAGGAAAAAACCCTATAGGTATGGTATACTTATGCTGCTTATGCCTAAGTTCCTAGCACTTTGGGTTAAAGCAGCCCATTGTTTTGGGCAACCAGGCGCACAGGTTGACCTCAACAACTCAAACCCTAAACCCCGACTCTCCCGGTCCCAGCTCAAGACTCTGAACTTTTTATATACATACATTCTTTTATATCTATATATATATATACCTCTTCTATATACACTGTATACTCTTATATACGCTATTATATGGTTTGTTTGTTTCCATGCTATCTTCCGTTATCCCAATATAACCCCTATATAACCTATATTCCCACCCCCCCTCTCCTGTGATGGTAGGCAGTGGCACTGGGACACCGGGATCTTGAAAAGCAGCTGGAACACCCGCTGTGCTGGTTGGCTCTTGTAGGAAATATGGCTGAGGCCTTGGTAATTGGGGTTTAGACACGCGCATTGGGGTTTAGGGTTTAGGGTTTGGGGCCTTGGTCTTGTGTGAGATTTTGTGTGGAGCCCTCATAGGGTTGGTACAACATAGGGTCATATAGGGATAATGGAAACTACTATTTAGGCTTTAGGGTGGTTTAGGGTTTAAGGTCCATTTTTTGGGGGGGGGTCCTCAGCGTGGGGAGCCCTAGGGAAGGTAGGTTGTTCTTGTAAGTTGTTTTTTTTGCATGTGGACTTGTTCAGGAACCAGCATCCTTGCTCAATCATCCTGATCATGAGCAACTTGTACGGGTTGCTTTTAACGATTCAACGGGGTAAAAACTGGAACTACTGGGACTTTTGAGGAAACTCTCCAAGCAAAGGTCGGGTATGAGGTCTCCATGCGACTGCATGCGCACATGAGGCATGGCACATGAGCTATAGTCTACACTCTGAGTATTCCCCTAAATAAGCCCTACACTACTTCCCCATACAATCTCTGAGATAACCCCGCTTAAGGGATTCAGACTACAGCTCACATGACTGAACTCGAGATCGGGAGGCGTCGCAGCTTGCGCAAAAGTAGTGATCACCGCCCCCGGCTCCTGTGTCACGTAAGGCTTGGACCTTGGGAGCACTGCAATGATGTGCTGCTCTAATGAAAGGACTGCGGCCTATTCTACTACTTAATGATGGAAGGATCATGAGAGAACAAGACTGAGAAGCGTGCAAGACTTTACATGACGAACATGTCATTGATGCGAAGCCTGTTGTGCAGCAGGGGCCCCTGCACTGGACCTGTAGACGGGACGTACATGCCGTCTGACCTCAGCATTGCAAGTACTCACGCATCTCGTGTTGAAAATGACCCAGATTCGAATCCCTTGCTGCAACAAAAGCGCGGATGTGCGGTGGCAGGATGACTACAAGAGGTTCGAGGCACTTCACACTTGAGCCCGTGTGCTCATGCCAAATGCGCAAGATCAAACAGAGCTCCGGATTCGACACTGCTGGAATGACAGCATCGGTGGCTTCCAACAAGTTCATACTCGGCCGGCTCATGCTAGATATTGGAGTAATTGCGTAAGACATCGTGTTCTTGTGTCCCAAATGTCCAATCATCATCGTCCCATTCAAGCACCTTTTGCCGCACATCCCCGCAGCAGTCATTTGAGCCAGCTTTCTGGCAGCGCCGCTTCAGCCAAGCGCAGGCATTGTTGCATCCCGAGTCTTGCAGTGTGCTCCTGGCAACACCCATGAAGCACAGTTGCGTTACTAGAATAACAATAAGACAATGAAAGGAAACAGAAAGAGGAAGAAAGAAAGAATGAAAGAAAGAGAGACAGAGAGAGATGTACATATATGTGACTCACCGGTCATGCCTTGCCTCATCGAAGTGAGCATATAATTTGTACATGTCACTCTCGGTCAGGGGGCTGCTGAGACCTGAGGAACTGAGGTTTGGTTCTGGGACGGTAGATGCACGACGGGCAGCAGCCTAGACCATGGAAGAGCATGCCGATGAAGGATCTGACCTCAGATGCCGCACCCGCCCCAACTGTGTAACACCTAGCACGCGGTGGGCATCCGGCATGTGAGGCAACTAGTCATGGCCACCAGAACCATCAAGCAATGCCTCTTGGAGAACGCGCGAGACTTCTCATGAGAAACAGAAAAACAACCGCTTGAAAAAAGTTGTGGAAGTGCCACTGGTTCCTTGTTTTCCTAGGACACAGATCAGCCGTCAATCCCTGCAAGAACTGAATTCAAACTCAAAAAATCAAACAATGCTTAGTCTCCGTAATACAATTATAATACTTTTCGCAATCCTAAAATTGCTAATATTGAAAATACGAACACAATATTCATAAGCCGAGTGGCCTCTGACCATGTCAGATAGCCATGACCACTCTGATCACAGGCCAGGAAAGCACGTGAGGCGACCTGCCCCCGGAGTCTACGACTAAAGTCGGAACCTGCAAAAGGTGCCCTGTGTAGACTCTCCTTGACCAACAGTATATATTGGGGTTATATTGGGAATTATTGGGAGAATGGAAAAGAAAATGGAAACTACTATGATGGGCTATATAGGGGTTATCTGACTAGAGTCGTTTTCATGGAAAGCTCAAGGATTCCTTGTTAAGTCGGGGGAGTCTACTTCGCAAAGCTCAAGATTGCTTAACATAACCCTCCAGATAATGGAGCCTCATTGTAACGGAACCTCTCTTGTCAGAAACGGAAATCCTGCATAACGGACGGCAGGCTACTTGACTTCAAGGGTCAGGTTAGGGAAACGGATTTAGGGCTTTGGGAGGGGCTCCCTGTCCGTGAGCGCCTGGTGGAGCGTCTCGCGGCCGATTTGTGGGTGATTTTCACCATCAACTGGTCCTGACAATATCTACAGCCAAGATTTCTGAGCTGCAATGAACAAGGAGTAGGCAGATTTTACAGCACGCTTGCGCCCTCCTTCATATCCCCACGTAACCCTGCAAAAATGCACCTGACGCCTTGCAAAGCTTGGGCAAAAGAAGATGCCTGGTTGCCAGGATGTGTCATCCAGGTTGCCAGACACGGACACGGGCCTCGATGCTGTTGATTTGAGTTGTTCTCAAAATGATGGTCCTTTTTTGGTGCCCTCAAATATTAGGCGCCGTAAGATGACCTACAGCCAAAAGAGGCCCACAATTATGAGACCAATCCGTGTGTCAGGCGCTCAAACTCGTGGGGTCGTCCATATTGGGGTCGTTTTTACAGAGTGCCGCAGCTATTGCCAGAAGTGTTTCTGTCCAAGGAACGCCCAGATTATCTGAGCTATATAGTCTAAACTCCTAGTATCCCCTTTCATAACCCCTATGATGCTCCCCTATATACCCCTCCCTTAAGGAGTTCAGACCCTAAACCTTAAACTCTATAGAAGCCTGTATAATCCTGTATATAACCCTCCTTTACGGAGTTTGGACCCTAAACTCAAAACTCTATAAAACCTAAATAATCCCCTATATAAGCCTCCTCTAAGGAGTGTAGACTATAAACCCTAAACCCTAAACCCTAAACCCTAAACCCTTAACCCTAGACCCCAGCTCATCTTAAGACCTTAGGCAGCTGGCTCCAACCTTTGCGGAGCTCGCGGCGCCGGGTCGCGGTTGCGCCCACCAGGATCCTGGATCAGAGGTCGGAAATATTGCTATTAAATTGGGGTGTAAGGTTTAGGGTTTAGGTTTTAGGGTTTAGGGTTACGGTTATGTATTGCGATGATGGAAAAATGGAAATTACTAGAGCATGATGGGGTATATAGATGTGGCCAGTTCGATTCCTTATTGGGTTGAGCCCCAGTATGTGCATGTTAATGCCCTGGCCCCAACCCCCTCAACCTCTTACCCCCCCAAATCCAAACGCCCTCAAACCCTTCACTCACGTGTTCTTAGGAAGGAATAAGGAAATAGAATCCCTTATTCTCTAGCAACCTCAATATATACCCTACTATAATGTAGCAGTTTCCATTTTCTTTTTTACTATCTTCATATCCCCATCCCGCTAAACACTCAGAGTGAAGGCTCTCTCGAAGATCTTGAAGCTAGTCGCATCAAGCCATCAGAAAGCAGCCTGGTTTGATTTAGGATGGAGGGCTTATATGGCTTAGGATTTCAGGGTTTAGGATGTTCAGGGGCTTATAGGGCTTGGGATTTACGGTTTGGGGTTAAATTGAAAGTAGGCAATGTAGAGTTGCTCCTGGTTATTCCTGCTGTTGACTGCAATGCAACATGTGACTCAACCATGGCCCACTGGGTTCCCCAAGTATCCCTAAATAATAAGGGTACCTTGGGTCCTGCCTCCACCCGTCAACAGTCTATAACAAATATCACGGGCTCTATATGTTTCTATTAAAAATATTGTCCAACTGTTAATGCATCGGGGCAGTGTCCAAAGGGTACCCGTGTTCTTAATGTTCAATTTTCATAGGGAAAACAAAAAAGGGAAAAGGCCACTGCTAAACCCTAAGCCCCAAACCCTAAACCTGACCCAGAAGCAGGCATTTGGTCACATCTAGGCATCCGGTGCCCTGCAAGTCGATTTGCTCGGCCATGGTGGAGATCATGGTCTCTGGCGGGTATACCCCAGCCTGACTGGTGGTTGGTAGGAAGGACGGCAGTCTTCTAGCGCATGCTAAATACACTACAGTGTACTATAACATACTATGAAAACATAGTATAATTCTGTAATATACTAAGATATACTACAATAACATGTACAGAGTCGACAGTTAGAGTTGAACATGTAGCTCACATGCAATTTGCATGGGGCACTAGATGTGTCGGTTGTAGGAAGGAATAAAGGACAAAGACAGTGGAAAGCTGTAATTTGTAAAGGCTTCCCAGTTTCATAACAGTCCCATTATTCATTCCCACACCTTTTGAGCACGGTCTGCCAAATGCTGATCCGCCTCCATATTCCTACGCACCACCCTAAAGCCTAAAAACCCCAAAGCAATTTGCTAGCCACCGCTAAGCAGCTTGGTCAAAGAGGGCATTGAGGAACTCCTCCATTTCGGACTTCCGTGGCCCTCGGTAGCAAAGGAAGCCCTGGGAGGATGTCGGCTGCTCCAGGAAGATCCTGGACTGTGGCTTTATGGGTTTGGGTTTAGGGTTTAGGGTACATTCTCTTTTGTTTAGATGGAATCTATGGGGTTACGTGAATATTGTGCAAATTGTAAAGGGTTAGGGTTCATGTTCCTAAACCCTTTATGGGGGTCTCCTAAAAATAGGGCCACCCGGGTACCATTTTGGGGGTCCCCACAACAAGGATTATAGTGTATTCGAGATTATCTTACATTGGTTTAGGATCTCAGGACTGCAGCTTAGAGCCCCTCAAAGCTAATTCTGTGTGGATCAAAATACAGTAACCCCTGAAAACTATTTATGGGTTTAGGGTTTAGGGTTTAGGGAATGAGCTCCCCCTATAGAAGCAGTAAGGACAAAGAAAAACTATCCCAGAGTTTCAGCCGGAATCTGTAGGGCGAGCTCCACAAACCTCTGCGGAGAGGTTCCATCCTTCCCGGTTCTTTGGAAAAACTCTTTTTTGGGCTTAGGGTTTATCGGTATAATTGAGGTTATATTTGAAATAATGGAAACTAAACTGGAAACTACTATTTAAGGTTTAGGGTTAAGGGCTTGGCTACCGCATTATAGAGACATCTACATATGTGCTCTCTCTCTCTCTCTCTCACAAACTGCTCAGTTTCTCGCCCCCTCACGTTCGTTGGGCAAGGATTTAGGAAGTCACAAAAATTCGAGGCGTGGGGGAAAAGATGTACTGTGATGGAATGGGGTTCCTTATATCAGTAACTTGAGAGCAGGGACCCCTAACCACATTTCCCTTACATGGCCCCATTTTCCTAAGTAGTCCCCATGTTACCCACTCCCTCAGGGTTCAGGGTCAAGGGCTTTTAAACTGCGAGGAATTTCCACCAAGGGCCCCTCCTAAAGCTCCAAAAGTTGCCACGCGCGAAGCATCTACAATATATCACGCTGTAATGTACTGCACCCAGCGATAGTGTATGCATTATCGATGGAAACCCTATAGAAGATATATACATATGTGTATATACTGTACTTATGATGTACTGCAAAGTGACCCTAGAATCCTCATAAGCGGGAAGGTCGCGGGCCACCGTGGCTAGCCACTCCCTGGCGGCTCGTAGGGCACGACTGTCCTCCTCAGTCTGGGAGGGTTTTGTCGAAAGGAAGGCTCTTTGGACCCTTTTGGGATATGGGACTCTCCCTAATTTGGGGATACCTTCTTGGGGGTCCCTGTAGTAAGGATTTCAATATCTTGGGGTCCTTATCTGGGTCGCAAAAAATTTTGGGTATACTGCCATATGTTGGGACTAAGCAAGGATTGTAGGGGTTGTCCCTTACAGGACTCAAAAAGGCAAAGAAAGCCTTGTCAGATGAGCCATCATCTAAACTCCGAGTATCCCATTGATAACCCCTATAGTACTCCCCGATAAACCCCTTTAAGGAGTTTAGACTCTAAACCCTAGACCCTAAATCCTAAACCCTATATATTCCCTTGTATATACATATACAGACTCTATAGTTCAGCTTGCTGTCAGGGATCTTGTTTCCTTGGTTCAGAGCCAGGGGCAGACTGCACCTCGAGTGTGAAGGGAACCTCCTCCTGTTGGCCCACGACCCAGTGTAGCAGATCTTCCTAGCCAGGGCACAGGGATTTTCGTGTAGATTTCATATTGAAGACTGAGATTTCATTGTTTCTGCCTGAGGCTGGGAGTGGGATGGAATCTGGCGAAGAGGCAATGTAAGGAAACTGAGCAGGGCGCCTTTGGCAAGCTCTCTTGCTGCCTTCCTGGAGGTGGTTCTTGAGATGCAAAGGCATTGCCTCAATGCGTAATATTTCAGTAAGTCAGTCAATCAGTCAATGATTACAAGGGGGGCATGGTACAGGGGACTAGCTAGGGCTTCCTATGCAGGCAAGTTGCAGGCGACAGGCTCCTCGAAGCCATCTCGATCCTTTCCGCGTGCAGGAAACCACACCTGCTCTCAAGAAGTCAGACTTCACGTGTCGGCTAAAGTTAACGGAAAAAACGGAAGAAAAGCCTTCCACAAGCAAAGCAAAATGTTTTCCTGAGCTGGCCTGGGTTGGGCAGGGCCCCAGTCTCGGGGAGCCAGGTGAGTTCTGCCATCGTTGGTTGCCTTCACTGCCAGCGTGCAAGAGCGCCCGGAAGATGGCATCCACCAGACAGAGGGACTCGCTGGCATTCAGCCTAAGCTGTGGCCCAGCGAACCTTGGCTGACTACTTTCACGGAACTTCTTAAGGTTAATCTTGGGGCTTATACTGCGTACTTATCTCACACAAAGACACTAAGTTCCTTATAAATGAAAGGAAAGGAACTTGTCAAAGAATGCAGCGATCTGTTCTGTAGTGGGAGGCACCAAGCCTTCCTGAATGAAGACCTCTGAAACGAAGGCTTCGATCACCCTGTCGGGCCACGTCAAATACCCAGTTCCCTGGTCAAATCGCTTGAAAACCTCCAAGGAGTGCTTTAAGAGGTCGCAGCTTGCAATGCCGTAGAGCATGCTGCTGCGCTGTGGGGCATTCATGGCTGCCAAGGATTGCAACATCTCTGCAAATTCAGCAAAATGGATAACAACACCAGTTGAGTAGGCAATGCTAACCGCTCCATCCACTGGCAAGGGCACATACTGCGCCATCCACTGCTCGGCCAGCGCCGTGGGGTGGTCCAAGGACTCCAGGCTTCCCATATCCGCTTCCAGATGCGCGTCTAGCCTGGGTTGCTGTTAAGGAACTTTAATTAAGGGATTATCCCCCCTAATAATGGAGAATCAAATGGAAAAGAAAATGGAAAATGAAATGGAAACTGGGGGAATATAGGGATTCAGGAACTTTAATTAAGTTACTATATTGGGGAAAACCTATTATTTACTATATATACCCAGGGGAAAACCTATTATTTACTATATATACCCATTATGGTAACTTAACTTAAATTCCTTAACAGCAACCCAGCAGCGGCGAAGGCTCAGCTGTGCCCAAGGAGGCCCGGAGTAAGACTTCGACCAGGCTCACACAATCCTGGGCTGTGGTGTCCAGAGTTCCTCGAAGATTTTCCCCCTCCTGCTTAGTCAAAACAAGACGGAAACTTCAAAACAAATACCATCATTACACCATCCAGACTCCAGTGCTGTCAAGCTCATGCGAAGCTCAGGATCAAAGCAGGTGTAGACCTCGTAGATCTGGGAGTCGGGTGGTGACTGAAGTGCCAGCTCCGCAAAGCAGGCTTTCACAAAGTCTCGGAGTTGACCGTGGGACCTGTAGTCACTGTAGTCTCCTTAGACCTATAATGGAATAGTTCCTTGGAGTTATACTGTAAAAAAAACTGAAAAATTCCTAAGGACGCTACAGGGACCAGGTCAAAGATTTGGCATTTGGGTCGAAGTTGCTGTAGACACTCACAAGCTTCTGGCCCAGCTGTCGACTTTGAAGGTCCTCGGCGATGCGCAGCCTGTGATGTATATTTGCTGACATTGTGCTGGCAAAGCGAGGCCAAAGGTCCTGCAAGTCAATGCAACGCCCACAAGGGAGGACAACACGATTCGCGTGAAGAGGTGGTGGCCTGTACAATGCCAGGCTCTCTTCCAAGCTCTTCAGCGCGGGACTCAGCTTGCTGAAGGATGTGCTCCCTTGCGACAGACGGGTGGCAGCCGGCTGATAGGTTGGCAAGCTAGGCATGTGCCGGTAAGGAGAGCTTGGAAAAGCCTGAGATCGTTGAGGTCCAGGGGTGAAGGCCTGCGGTTCCACAGGGGCCTCGGCTTGGAAGGGATTCGTCCTCATCTTTGTCGGACTTAAGCCAAGGCCACTAATCCCCAGCTCTCTCAGCAAGTGCTGGGTAGCTGCGCTCAGCTCATCAATGCGCCGGACTGCGTCTTCGCACGTTGAGGCCATCTCTTGAAGCTGCAAAGACTGCCGCGGCGTGCGCATTTGCGCCTGATATGCAAACCGCTCAGTTGGAACCGGGCTCTGCGTGCGACGCGTGGGTGAAGCCTTGAACGAAGCCTTTGGAGAAGGCTTCGGAGAAGGCTTCGGTTTTGGCTTGGCGGCTGGCAGCGCCACTTTGGCATTGGCGGATGCAGTGGTCCAGCTGTGCCGGCCACCTCCAGGGCAGGAGCAACAGGAAAAGAAAGAGTGGAGTGCTAGTAGTCCAGTAGTCCTCATGAAATTTACTGTAAGCCCCTTGAGCGAAAATCATGTGCAGAATAAACCCCGGGTCCCTGCATCCCAGCAAGACTCAGTGGTGCCTAGCACAATCCTTACATAATGCCCATGTATACCCTTATGAGGGTACCTATCTAAACCCTAAACCCTCAACTCTATCCCTCTTGACACCAGTAGGAAGAGGCCTTGTGCACATCGATGGCAAAGGCGAGCTGGCTTGCTTTGCTTTGGCTTCTGCATGGCTTTTAGGCATTCGGGCTTCGCGGGGCTTAGGGGGTGGAACATAAGGGTTCTAAGGTCGTAGGCTTGGGGTTTAGGGCTTGGGGTTCAAGGGGAATCTTGGGGTTTGGAATTAGGCTCCTGCCTTCTACATGTATAACTTTTCAAGCCCAATGGCTGCAAAGGCACCGCACGTGGCTCGCTGTCAGGTGACATGGGACTGTAAAAGCGCTTGGGGCGTGGTGTAGGGATGGATAGGATTGAGGGAGTAGGATTATGTAGGGCAAGGGTTGTAGGGATCCGAATCAAATTCTCATTGTAAGTCTGAACCTTAAGCCAGAAGCCCCAATTCCCTAACCACAAGCCTTTATCCGTCAGTTCACGGCCCAAACCCAGGTGAAAGGACCTTCGGAGGATCATATCTTTTCCGGCTTTTGGCGTCGGCCAACTTGATGAATCGATCCATTTCGAGGGGCCCTTTCATGAGCCTTATAGAATTGTTCGGGACATTATCCTTTGGACGCCATGTTTGGGCACTACACTGTTTTCACAATGCCTGGGTAGCTGCAGCTGCTTCCGTTCGATTGCTTGACTTCACCCTGTCGCTGGTGCTTTGGACTTCTGAAGCAGCGAGCTGCAAATCGATGTGGGGAGTTTTTTCAAATCATCCGTCTACAATCGCTGATATAACCCCATGAGGGGAGGGATCCATTTTCGACTCCAGCCATTTCCAATATCTCATGCGGGCTACGCGGGAACATGGCCTTGATGCTGTGCTGGTGCTGACAGAACTCCTACGTCACCTCCGTGCCAAAGTTTCGACGGCGCCAACCAGGCGCTTGAAGTCGTGGCTGAACTCCACCAAACACTCCTAAGAAAACACATGATGCAGCTATTTTGGGCCAATCTATGAGCCAAATCCCAAACTCTAAACCCTAAGGGGTGGCGCCGAAAACTTCCCAGAAAGTTCAAAACTTTCCCGTGACAGTCCGCTCTTCTACCGTTCGTGTTTACCTAGCGTTGAAGCTTCAGAAAATGCAGCCGCAAGATTCACAGCCTCACTTGGAGGAGCCCACCGGCCACTGGACCTATGAAAGCAGTGTCCTTGCCAACCCTAATCTCATCTCTATCACCTCCACACGAGGAGCCCTTACGGAACAGCCCTGTGGTCCTTATCCTGGAGATTGGGTTTACCAACTCTGCTGTTCCTTCACTACGCCTACACCCCCTTAATGCTGAAAACGCCCAGATGGGGTTTCCATGAATAGGGGGCACTAACACATTAAAATCGTTAGTACGGGGACCTCTTCAAGAAAGGGACCCTAATTCACGGAAACCCGCATATCTTTGAGAAATACTTCAGCCCAGATTCCCGCAGGCCCTTCATCTCCTGCCGCATCCCTGCAACATCGTCTGCAATCCTCCTGAACACCTTTCAGGGTTTGACGCCAGCAAAGTAAGGAGAAGATGTGAGCTATAGTCTAAACTCTTGGCGCAGCCTGCGCCCTTCGCCAAGTGCCCGGAGTCAGGGTCGTGGCATGGGTTTATCACATCTGCCGAGGGTCAAAATCACTGGCAGGCGCAGTATTTCGGCCTCTTCAAGCATACTTGAGGGGTCCTGGGATGAGGCAATTTTTTTACGAGAAAAATCTGGATTTTTT